CCCTGCCCGCCTGACCCAGGGATAAAAGGCCGAAAGTGTTACTGATCATACTACTTCTGATCTTTGTAGTAGTATACTTGCTGTAGTACGATCAAGTTATTGTTGACGCCTGTTATTGGAGCCCCTATAGTTGAAATACAGGGAATTTGCCTTGAATAGTTGTAATGCCATTTTTAAGCTGGGCAAAGGTTGGTGTAATTTGATTGGCTGGTCCCCTCCAGTATCTATTCGATGACGTAAAGGATATTTTAAAGAATGTCTAAAGCATCTTATGCATTTAAGCGATGACATAAAACTGCATTAAAAATGACGCGGCTTAATGCAAATCAACCTGACCAGTTCATTTCAAGCGTGGTGAATCACTAGGAAAAAAGTTACAATATTTTAGTGAATCAACAATCATCATCACCAATCGGGCATGCAAGGGGAAGGAAGAAAGGTGAAAAACAAGCAACCATTCGAGTGACTTTGGCATTTTTAAGGTGAAAAAAAGAAAAGAAAAACCTAAGCACTAGAATACGTGACCTAGAAAACTTCGGTTTATGGTTATATACAATATGACACACGGATCCCAAATTTCGGCTGCTCAATTCGAGGTAGGTACAGTGGTTAAATATTGTCCTTTACCCCGCCTATTGAGACTCAAAACTCCGTTGAGTAAACTGCAAGCCAACCTGACGATCTAGGGTGGATCGCTTTGTGATCCGCGATAACATGAACAAAGCCTTTGCGAAAAGTCGAACCGGAATATGGGATAGTCACTGATGAAGCAGTTTAATAGACGTAACCTGGAATAAATTGAAGGCTTCTCAACCAAATACTTTAATTATTTGTTTATCGCGTCCTTTTGGTTGCACCTACACTGATAGCAAAGCCATTATCCTCCCGCTGCAGCGGTATGGCCGTCTGGCCATGTCAGTAGTCCCTGGCCATTTTCTGCTTTAGTATCATGCCGTCTTTCGACTTCAGAAGAGACTTGGAGTGCCATTTTCCTTTGTTACCTATATTAACACTGGATAACCTTTATACCACGATTTGATGTTATGCAGGCCTAGAAAGCTCCACTATCATACTTTCACGATAGCAATTTGGCCTCCAAACCATGCCAAAAGCCCACGGCCCCTCCGCATGACGGCAACACATTTCTTGTCCCAATGTTATGACTGCTTTCGTCTTCATAAAATACTGGAAATGCTATTTTTTAAACAATCTCATTCTTCGATTATCCATATCAACACTTAAGCGCCGTTGAATGCACGATTAAACGTTAAACTGGTATTAGCGTCCCTTAAATGCATTTTTCAGTCCAAAAGAATTAACTATTGCTTCTTTTATGGAAATTAATTGTATTTACTTCAGATAATTTGTTTTATACTCCAATGGTGCGACAAATTATTCGTAAGAGATAATAACTCTCAAACTGATAATTTCATCTGCTTTAGGAGTTCACTGAAGGAGACTCTTTTTCAGGTTTTAAAAAATGAAGGACGATTTATGCGCAGGTTTCCTTTGATAAATAGCCGTCTTTATTCAGCCAGGTGTGAGGAAGCAAAAGGAACCTGCAAGTAGCATTAAGCATCCTGTGCGCATCCACCTTTTCTGTCGCTAGTGGATGCTCCTGTCCCGTAGTGGGATTAGTTGTGGAAGTTAATTAGTACAAGCTTAAGTAATCCACCTAACACCTTAGTATGTGCTGTTAAAACTACCTATCTATGTACCTTTATCAACAATGCTTTGTCAGGACAAATTTGAAGGGTTCGGTCACGCCAATTACCGCGCAATGGCGATGTTCAAATAAATTCGTTCATCGTACGCGCCAGTATAGTTGAGAATTATGTAGCAATTTAATCCGGTCTATGTGTTTACTTTTTTCCTCTTTGAGTGGAGTAACAGTTGTTTGACGCAAAGGCATCACTGAGACTTTATTATTTCCCTAAATAATTACCAAGCGGTTAGACGGGTTGTGCCATGACGCCTCGATTAACTAGCCTTTTTAATCTTCAGCAAAAATATTATGCGACAAAAAATGGCTTAACTTTACGCGATGACAACGAGGCGAGACAATAGTCTCTGAGATGATTTATCATCCGATGCTTCTTTGTTTGATGCATGTCGCAGAACTCTGTTGTGTTCCGTAAAGGGCATATCAAAAAGTAATTATAGGAAGTGAAATCAAAGGATTGAAAAAAGGATCAAGCTAATTCAATTACTTAAAATTGAACAGAAAATATTCGTGCCATGTAAAGGGACTAAGGTCCTCAAAGAATCGGACGGTAGTGTGCAGAGAACATTAGGTATACAAACATTGTGATTTTCAAGATACAATGAAGCGTCTCGACAGCTAGGCAAAGAAAATATGGGAACTGCCTGAACTGAAAATGATTACGGGATAATTGTTCTGTAAGTCGAACAATCTGCTTGGATATAATAAAAGGTTAGCTAAGATCAAAGCTACTATTTGAGATCGATGGGAAAGTTTCCAAAGAGATCGTGCAACCCCACTGGCTGATTTTTTAATCTGCTCCGGAAAATTAGCATCCTTTAGAATTCCCTAACTCAAGAAAATTTCATTTGTTTGTGGCTTTTATTGGGGCATTAGATGTGCGTGCGCTCAAAACCACAATGTTAACTTCTCGGATTATACAGGCGTTAAAAACATTGTAATGAAATACAAGAGCTGAATTTCTTCCTCTAGGTACATTTTGTCTTCTTCAGAGTAACAATAATGCATCCCCGCCCACACTTTAATCCAAATTCTGAAAACAATGTTAAAGTGTCCTGTTATTGCGTCCTTTTCTTTGTTCAATTTATCTTGCCAAAAAAGAGGTCTTCAAATGACGATATCTTTTAGTGATACCGGCTATGAGTCAGAATTGAGATATGGTAGAAAGCCAAAAAACAAATTTGGTGTCCTGATAAGTAGCGGAGGAAAAGAAAACGACGATTACGGTGAAACTACATTTTATACTAAGATACACTATTTTCATTACCATCACATCGCGTTAGAACAATTGCATTCCCATTGTAAGGTCACTTTAGCAGCCGACCTTCGTGCATTCGATTTGGCCACATAAAACAAATAATTAGTAGTTCTCATTTTTAAATTGGCACCATTAACATAGCAATCGCATTGAATGGATGGCGAGCTTAAATGAATAAATGACATATTTTCAACACACATTTGGGTGAAGCTCATATATTCCGGAACATTTTGGCCGAATTTTTGCATCAAGGCTAGGAAAGTCGACATGGGGAATTATCTTTCCTTAAAAAAATCATTTACACGGATTTATTGCTTTGCGTTTGTTTTCATGAAAATGGTGCCTACTTTTTCGAATTCCAATCTATTAATTCTTGCAACTCTGGATTGGGCCATTTGGAAGGGTCATTTTCTTCTAAAATATTTGACATGCAATGAAGTTCTTTTAGGCAAAGCTACCTTCTCCGAAGAAGTTAAGACGTAATGCGATTTTACTTACTGCGTTGTTGTATTTGTATCTGTATGCAATAATTGGATCAATGAATATTTAATGTACAGGGTCGTAATTAATTAAACCGAGAATGCGCGTCGGCTTGATAAGGCATGATGTATTTAACGCACATCTTTTTTGCAGTCTATGTTATTCCATACTTAAATGACACTGAGGAGCTGATAAATTAAAGACCAGGCGGAGCAGGTAATAAAACTCATTGAATGTTTCCTCCGATTATCTTAATCACTAATTAAGAAAAGTTGCTTAATTATTGGTCTAAGCCGCAATGAAATTCCTTTTTTTGATACAGGGAAGTTTGAAAAAAACAAGCTAATTTATCATCCTTGTTAAAAATTAACCTTATGAAATTCATTTAAACATAAAAATTTATTTTGCATTTGTCTCAGATTTGTCTCATTTACGAGATGAATTTAAGTCTAATCGAGATCCTTAAGTTCATGAAAGATTAAAAACCACAACCATGGGGAAGTAAAAGCCGTTTTGGTTTCTCTGCATAGTCTCCTGCAGCAGCATTAATGTGTTTAACCCAGCGCTCAACTAATACCCGGAACTCTTTAGTATCTAGATATTTATTAACCTATCCAATTATCCCAGGAGAGCCTACGCAATAAATTCTTAAATTGCATATCTTCATGGATGGCTTTGTCCGCCGTGCCCTGGTGTAGTTTCACGACATGTTGACAACGACTTGCTCAAGCGTTCCACGCACTGGACGAATGCCTATCGGAGTGACCGCTGTGGGTCGAGTTTGTCATTGACACGTGTATGGATATCTTAAAGGGCTCTAGCACCATACTTTGGCCGAGCGTCTGATCACTGCCAGGTGGATGAGATCTTCACGGTTTTAAGTTGTCATTATGCGAATTTTCAACCTAGCCTTGCATTCGTCATGCACGCGCTATCACTAGGTCCGCAAAATGTGTGCTAGCAGTTAAGTAAAAGGGCGTTCTACTAAACCTACTACTGTCGCAAAATATGCGAAATTGGAAGTCCTGATTGAGCATAAGCATTAGTCATACATTTTACGCTTGAATTGGACCACAATGCTGAGACTACATAAATATCAAGAATACTGCCTGTGGGGAGTCAAATAAAGGAAAAAAACACGGGAAGTGCTGCGCCTAGGTTCCCGACAGAAGAAGCATAGGGGAATACCTTATCTTTTTCTTCCTCCATAGCCGACCTGAGAGTGATTTATAATACGACTTTTGGTACTACTACAGAGATTACTTCTGATTGACTGGTGCATTCATCCAATGTGTAAATCACTCACCATTACTTATGAGATGAACCAAGAGGAGATGTGTGACGATTTATGGTGATAAAGTAAAATAAGAAAATGGATAAACGGAGTGCCAAATTTCATCATCTATTTAAAATTTGAAAATCTGCCAGAAACGGAGCAAAATTGTGCTGAAATATCATCTTCCTGTCGCAAGTTTTATGAGGAGTCATAAAAAGGTGCCTGATGGAGTCGCCCGAGGACAAAGCGCAAATTACTCTTGAATCAGGTGGAGCTGAAAATTTGCATAACGGAGTAGGTGGAAATGCGTATCGGAAATGGGCTTCCGCTGTCATGCTTACACAGATGATAAAAGGCCGACGCCTGTCCCGGGAAATCAACTGTTAATAATGTCTAAGTACATGAGAGCCGCCCAGCCAAAAAAAATCGCCAATTGAGCATACAAATTTGAGTCTCAAACTGTAAAGGCATTTCCCTGAGTCATCGGTGTTGGTTAATACCTAAACACCGAAAAGATGACTGCTTTGATTTGGGAATGGCTTATTTATTTAGAGCACGGGAATCCTCAAAGAGGAAGAGCACAATGTCACTCCGAAAAAATCCGTAACCTTTGATGTGGCTTTCTTGCAAAACCCTTTCTATAATTAGTTTTGAGAAGGACCAGGCAAAATTAAAAATTTTAGATCTTGCTCATTTTGTATTCAACTAAACAGAAAGTGCTACTTATTTCAGTAGCATGGCACTGCTATTGAATTCGCTTAATAGATAGGACAATGTTTGTTTTGGACATCATGCAGCTAGTTTTTTGTACCGTATTAATTTCAGAAGTAGCCTCGGAACAATTGTTTGCTATAGAAGTGAAAATGAACGGGATTTCGCATAATCGTCACAGATTTAACTCACATTAACTCAGAATGGGAACTAGGAATTAGCTTTAATTCCTCTATTGCACAAATTAAAAAGGCTTAATTAAATTCCCCAACTTTTCACTTAAAAATAAGCCAAGGAAATAAATAATTTATATAAAAGGCAAAAGTGCCTTAAAGTTGACATTAGCTGTGAGTAGAGTGGTAAATTGTTTTAAAATTCGCTTAATGGGATTAAAAGAAACCAAATTTCATATAAGACACTCCGTTTAAACCAAGCATTAATTAATAGACGATTTTTGAAGGATCGAGCATTTATTTGATAATAAATTTATCAAGCTGTCGAAGGTTTACTTGAAGTGATGGGTTTTTTGAATAAGCCTATAAAAGATGAACTTACTTGACACATCCCATGAAACAGAATGTTTCAGGATGTCAAACATCCTAAATTCGCCCTCCCATGAGTCGGAATCTACTGATGTGGTGTCTGAGGAGGACCAAAACGTCGCTGTGGACGAGGAAGGTGAGGTATAAGTGGAAGATTCGGACGACGCAGTCGAGGAATCATGACGACAGCTGTAGGAAAAAGAGGGGGAGGATCCACGAGAAGAGATGGAGGATAGGGAAGGGGAGGAGGAGCGCCATTGCCTGCCTCGTTGGACAGGCGAACGCCGAAAGACCGTCTTTGGCTCCCTTACGATTACCGTCTCCTTGAAGGTGACTCGTCTCGCTATTTGCCCTGTGAGATTTGGAGTCCGAGCGAGGTCAGCTCCGTTCCACATGGTTTCATGGTCCGGTAGACGTGGTGGAGGTGGAGCGGCAGAATTAATAGACATACGTGGGTGTATATGTGCGCAGTTAATGAGGCAAATTGTTCACGCGGTGTTTTGTTGGACAGCACGTAGCCGGAGCTTGCTGATTGGCTCGTGGGGGCGCGTCTTATCACTGCTCCCCGTTTTTGATGCAGAAAAGCAGTTTTGATTGGGACACTTATTAGCAAAAGTTGCTCATTTAGAATATTATACAATCTAATCAAGTCATTAATTAACACTTCTGCTGTTTTTTATTCATTTTGCAGAACCTGCTCTTCGTCGTTTGGGGTCAAGTGGTCAGGACGACAAGCCACCTTGTCTTTTAATCCTTCATTCTCACCTTAGCCTCAGCTCTTTTAAGTCATTTGTTGAGGTTTAGTGTTGTCAGTACGGCCAAAATAATTTAAAGATGTGAGTTGTTTTCGTAAGAAAGGGAGACAATAGAAAGATGATAATTAAAGCTGCCATAGAGAAGGCTAAAGTGCTTGTTTTAGACGTCTATTGGTCCAGAGGCCAGTCAAATGTGAGAACGGCGGAAACATCGCAACTGCATAGTTTCCTATTTTTAATGGCTCAATGAAATCTGGAAACAATGCATCACGTGGATCCTCCATAATCCGGTGATCTCAGTGGGCAAAGTTGACCCTAATTGAGACAGAGAAGCAGAAACCAAGCTCGAAAGTCGTAGATTCTAAGGGAGCGAAATTTACTTAGTTTGAGAAGTTTTAAAGACATTTTCTTCGCCTTTCGAGAGCCCGAACTTCACGTCCAACTCTTATTAGATCCCTCTTTCCACTGCCATAAAGAGTCCCTTTATGGCTAAAGGAGAATGCAAAATCTTGCTTATTGATTAGTAACTGGCAGAACTGTCAAGCTTATCGGGGACATCCCAAGCATTGTCAGACAAAAGATTTGCCAATTAATGGAAGCCATTGCAACTCAGCTAAGAGCTCGGGGCTCAACGATTCCACAAAGATTACAAGGTAAAACGAAGGCAAATGAGTTTGTTTCAATCCCAGGACAGGAATTGAACCCATAAATAACCCAGCATTTCTCGAATGTTTCGACACTTGTATTCAACAATGCTATGCAGCAAAACTCATGGAATCTCTTGTAGTATAACAGCTTGTCATGCTCAAGTCATGTTATATCAATAATTAAACACCGGTAGGAGTACTGTGGATTTATTTGCTCAGCAAATAAACTGTGTGATTAGCCCGACAGCACATTTTACCATGAAGATATAACGAAGAGTTCAGGCGCTCTAAATGAGGTAAAGAGAACTACCCTCACTCACTTGTCACATCCGTGACTGATCATGACATAAGTGTGTTTGCATGGTGCTCATTCGAAGCCTTTGATTGGTTGGCGGGTGTGTGCTTCTTCATTTCAGGGTAGTTAGCATTGTGTAATCAATTCGGTGAGCCGTCTTTTTTGCAACCTCGCCATGGCAAGACTGGAGGATTCTACGATTACAGTAAGTTAAGCGGGGCATTACCATTTTGCGGCAATAACTTACCTCCAAGTTGTTCAATTTATGAGGTGTTTAGTTTCAGTTTATTTCCTAAAGTTGATAGGGTCTGGAAAATTAAAGGTTGTTTAATTTTACCTCATTTTTAGGGCTACTTATGGCTCTTGATAAAAATGGGTCAGTGGCCGCAGTTTAAAGTGGTTCCCACGAACAACTAGCCTTGCCTTTTTAAAATGAAAATCTCGGGATTTGGTAGCATTATTAACATCGTTTGAGGTTTGTTATTCCAGCTTCCCTGAACTAGGGAACCACCTTCTTTTAGATTTTAGAATAATTTTTCCTCTGAGGGCAATTATTCTGCCAAAAATACCTAAAAATCATTAGTGCCTTGATGATGTTCTGTTTAAAGATGCGAAGATGAAAAGTGACAAATTTCGGTAATTTGCATTGAACAGAATTCGTAAATTTTCTTTAATTGATTTGACTTCCAAAATTAATTGGGGTAAGTCAGAGAATATATGATTTTGCATTTTAAACCGTACCGACTGTCCACTTCACTGATTTAAGAGTCATAAAGTGTGTGTTTTACAGCAAAATGCATATAATAAAAGTTGGACTAAAAAACTTCTGCATTAGGATTGATTTCCTCTGCAATTCCCAGAAGGGGTGATGTTTAATTAGACCAAATGTAAAAACTGACGCTAATATTTCGTGGTGAATCGCAGAGTAAACTAAACTCATGTAGTTAGCGCTATGGTAACGTCGTTGCCAATACAGAGTTCCTTGGACGAGTGGATTATTTTGGGGACCGTCACGTGATCTAAGCCTGGATTTGCATATTTTAATTCACAAAGCCGCCGATAGTGACACAATCGTAGGCGATACCACCAATTCCACAATCCTCTGACGAGATCTCCTCCAGCCTACGGTGTATTTGCTTCCATAGTGTTAGAAGAAAACAGTGCTCCCTCAGAAGTTACTTTTTGAAATGCTCAACTTAGCTTCCGCGTTGTTGACAAGGAAAAGTCCATTTGGAGTGAGCGCTGAAGCAGGAGAAGTGCTGTTGGCAAAAAACCTTTTTCATTGAGTGTTTACGCTTGAAAAGATACATATTTGATGGGAAAGTAAAAGCTAAAATCGTGGAGGCATTCAGTAGTGCAACTTTCGCGATCTCTTATTGTTTAAAGTGGTGCCCCTTGTTTAAACTTCCTTTGGCAATCTCTACATGGCCCATCCGACTGGTAACTCTAACTGCAAAGCATCCGGTAGAACTTCGCGAAAATCAAAATTTTAGGAAATTGAATATAAGAAAAAAGTTGAGTTGCCAGTATGTCACTAAGTATGACGTCTTCTTCAAATTTCCCCTGGATATTTTGACAACAGTGGCAATTTACTAGCCTATAGACATCAAAGCACACACATTTTGAGCCATTTCGGTAAGAGCACTTAAAATTTGGCACCAATGCTACCGGATAGACCCTTACGCACCGGAAACAAAATTATCCAAGACTTCAAAAGTAGGTGAAATTATCTGGCCAAGTTGGAATCATTGAAAAAATCCTGGTATTTTTGGTCTGGTTTATGGTGTGCATTTGAGATTATGACTTCAAAAAGAATGAAGAAATCCCAATTCACAAATAAGACAGCACATTTGGGCTCCTTAAAATTGTTCTCAATTTGCCAACACGTGCAACGCTAAAACTTGCCAATAGTATTTAAGTATTGGCATTCAATTTCCTTCTAATTCTTTTTATTAGGTGGGAGTTGTAAAATCTGCTCAACATTTGATGTTTAAAAATGGGTTTAAATTTTTTTTGTTCACTTATTTTTTTTCACTTACAACTCCATTTTAAATCTCGCGCCAAAGTTTTACCACATGTCGAAATGTCCCCACGCGGGCCCAATCAAATTAATCCTGGAGCATCAGAATTTCAAGTACATTGACGAGCCAATCAAGACTAAGGATTGGCAACTAAAGCGGGAGGAGATTATCACCTTTCGAGTGCCCGCACTCCGCATCCAACATCGTGACGGTCAACTGCAATGGATGACAGAGGCTTCAGCCATCCTGAGGTGTCTGGGGCAGCAGTATAACCTTCTGGGTCGCAATGATATGGAGATGTACCATTGCGATCGCATTATTGGAAAGGTAACTGATTGGTTTAGTGATTTTAAAAGTTAGTGCAATGTTAGTGGTTCATTTTAAACAGGTTGTTTTCCTAGAATGCATTCGTAAACGCCCTCTGGCTTCGTTTCGCCATCCTCAAAATATGAGGCAATAAGCATGGTTGACTAATTAATTTATTGTCCCAATTTATCCTTAAAGGCGTTGCTAAGCCTACGGGTTAGAAAGTGCCTCTCTTATTAGCACATGGAAGGACGGCGGGAGTAGTAAAATATGGGAAATAAGCAGAGTCCAGTGTCACTAACCTGGAAGACTAAGTATGGAACTCCAAAATGGGTCCTTTAATTCCTTCAGTCATATCAAAACAAATTTCATCTTCTCAAATGGTCTTTTAATTATCTTTACTGATCTTTGTGTTTACTCTCCTGTGTTGGCCAATCATCTCTGCGTTCTGCAGTCAAGCTAAATAATATGGGCTGGGAGTCAGACAACAAGGTGATGGGATGAAATTCCCTCCATAGCGAGGCGATATCTGATTTGAATTTCACCCATTTTGATCCACATTGTGGGATATGGTTTACTGCATATTACTTAGGCTTCAGATTTGTCCAAAGGCTCTTCCACCATTGTGGAGAGGCATCATCAGTAATTCATGGTTTCTTGCTTTGCATTTATTCTTCAAGTTGTTGTGATAACAATTTTAATAGAGCCATACGCGGAGAAAGCTAAATTGTATCTTACTTTTGAATTAGCCATGGTAGCAAAGTGATAAAACATTTGTTTGCATTATTTGTGAATGCTTAAAATATTATTAATTATATGTAAAGTCCTGTTTTAACCTCGAGATTTGTCTAACAAATGAGCTACCAACATGAGAGTTTTAAGGTCGGCAGTAGGATGAATCGTAATAGGCTATACCGAAGTCAGAAATCAGACCTAAGTGTTAATATTCTACAAATATTGGATCATTTTGGTACGCTTGCTTCTAGCGTCACACATATGTGACATGTGATCCTTAACGACTTATGACAATTAACTGGCACCAAGTTGTGCGATAAGCACATCAGTTCATTATTCTCGTTAACAGGGAAATCGAGTTCTTTAGTTTGTAAGATGCCTAGGTTTGCTAGAACATTGCTATATTCAGCCGGTGGTGGTTGGTGGTTAAGCACTCTTCTTCATGTCACGTGACCATGCAACAAATACCATTCAGATTCGGTACAAAGTTGGAATTATTACATTAGAATGCCGGCAATACACCCCCTCCAGATAGTATAAGCCGTTGACTTCTGTGGGTAGCTCTATAATTAGGAGTACGGAAAGGTTGGGAGATTGGCGGCGCGAATGACACAAGCAGAGCTCAGCGCCACTAGTCTATAGACTGAGGCAAGAAAGACTCAGAAGGTGACCACATTATCCAGTACTTTACATAAACTCATCGCATTCAAAGAATTTACGCTTGGATAAGCGTAAGCAGCTAGAATTTCTTCCGCCAACTGAGATGCATTTACTCAATTTGTTAAATATATACTCGGCTTTTATTATGAAACTATGAGACCAGAATAACCCCACACATCTAAAGAGAAAATAGGACAATACTTTTACACGTTTTAGAGGAGTAGGTTAACCTATCAGGTTTGAAAATATATGCGATTTTTTTAAACCAATTTCATTGTTTTCTTCCCTCGAAGCTACTCATACTTTATTCAGCAGTATTGTCATATATCCTGGTTTTGCGCTCATATAAAGCTTATTGGCTAAATCATTCCTCTACCGTTTGGTTGTAGATTATGGAATCGGGTAGAATTCTCGCGGACTTCTACAAAAATAAGAAATTTCACGGTTCAGATGAGAAAGAGCACGAGGAATATAAGGAGGAGTTATTCAAAAAGATCTCCGTCGTTCTTCAGGTAAGTAATTTGGTGACTACAAAGTAACTTTTGTATCCAACTGCGTTCTGATTTACACATGATATGTAACGTTGTAATTCAAATTTATCGGTTAAGATTTACTAGTGAAAGCCTAAAGGGTTGTTATGATCAATTGATCTAAAACTCAACACAATTACTCAAAAGAAGGTAGCTCGCAAAATATATTGCTGGAGTTTCGGTGCTGTCCCACCAGGTAAATTCACTATAGGGGCTTAGGTACGTAGGTCATGTGATTTTGCTTGGTAACGCATTAAAACAGAATATTTACGAAAGCCACTGACTTATGACTGCAGAGGGATATTTGACCATAAAAAATAGAATCAAAACCCAAAAAACAGGCCAAATTATGGAATAAAAATACTCTTTCGACTATGTTTTTAGTCATGTTACTTGCTACATACCCAGCAAGTTTGTGGAGATTAGTTCTCCTTTCCATTTCACTAAACCAATCGTCAAACATGTCCAAACAATCCCACCAGAGAGTTGTTTATCCACCTTAAAAAGCTTGAATTTATCGAATATATTGCATGGATAAAGTAATGATGAAGCCAATTGCGCTACATGTATTTGGCTTTAGCACCTCGATCAGATGCTGCAAGAGGCGCCGGGTAGCTACGCTGCTGCAGATATCATCACGATTGCGGATTTCTACCTTCTGGACATGGTGGATTTTCTTAGAGCTAACAAACCTGGATGTCTTACGCCATTCCCGTATTTACAGAAGTGGCGAAAGCACCTACTTGACACCGATCAACCAGTTGCCAGATTCACCGCCTCGCGCAGTTGGACAAAGATATAGGGTTAAAACAACAGTCTATAAAGATAACTGATAGGATGTCTTTGTTTAGATTTATCCAGTCAGTCTCAGAATCCCGTCATGCGAACTATTAGTGGTTATAATATAGTAATCATGCACTACATTTCGGCTTAATTTTGCTCTCCTAAATGGCCTTCATTAGGATTTCCAGAATCCCTCACTGATCAGGCAATACACGGATTGACTAATACTAGATGTCTGATTTGAAATTTGTGACTCTCAATCTATCATTAGATCACTCGTAATCGCACCAGATAATAGTCTCATAATGAAAGATAAGTTAGCAACATCAAGTTAGGTAGTAGTTTTATTTAAGTAATAGGTAGGCTGGTGGATCCAGGATGCCAAAGTGGTCAAAGGAATTGCTAATGGTAGGATTTAATTAAATCGATCAAAATGTGTTATCACTAAAACAATCATTTCTCTTTATGCTCCGAGCTGCTGCTGTAACCACAGCTTCTATGTTTTACGAGTTTGCCCGAAGTAACAAAAGCTCAATAGAAAAAGGTCGGAGATTGCCTGCTGCGCGTTTCGGAAATGGGGCTCTTCCGTCCCAGGACTTTGTACTTCTGCGCTCTAGAGCAAACTTCAGACAGTCCCTGCAGTTTCTGCCTATTGATCGCATTTTATTATAATGTGACTTAGTGTGTCTTAGGGTAAGACTTGGAGTGCTATACTCAAAAGCGGAGAAGTTCAACTCACTTAAAATATCAATTAAATTTGTGACGCGCGTAGTGATTTGACGTTTTGCTTGACTACGTTGAACTGCGTAGAAACTTCGGTCTTTACATATTGCGGATGTTTAGCTCTCGGTATTGGTAAGGGATAACCTTGGGTCTGGCCAATTGTACCTTTTCCAGGTGGGCTAGACTCCGGGCCAGGCCAGGTGGTTCAATCCATTCTCCATGTCAAAAGTGTGCATAATTTCTTTGAGTAATATGCCTCTTTCCGTATTAGAGGACATCTCGGGGCGCTACTGTACTAGCAGCATGGTAGCCCTACTGGAATTTATTCAAATTTCTGCTTTTATGACACATTGTTTATTACAAATTCACTGAAGCCTTTGTTGCTGCAACATATGGCCACATCAAAATATTGATAAGTAAAAAGGCGCTTTAATTGCGCTTTACATTAAGTTTGCCTAAATATTGTAAAGCGATTTAATTTATGGGGAAGAACAGTAATATAGAATATTCAGGTGAAGAATTCGGCTGCGTAATGCAAAAAAGGGCTTTACAACCATAAAAACTGCAGCGTCTGTTGGAAATTATTTGGGGATAACTAATAATGATAATTTGACCGTTTACTAATTTTACTAATGCCCTAATTTTTTCAATTTCGTGGGGCTGAATTTGTGCATTCGTATTTAAGGTCAATCTCTGATTGGCTAACCGAGGTCTTTTGGGCCACTTTTGATCCAAATGCACAATTGGCAAGTCGATGTCTCGGAATACGTAAATGTATTGCTTCCTTTTCCTGCATTTGAAAATATCCCATAGCCTTCAGTTTGGTTGGCTTAAGCGCTGTTAAGTTTGTGTTACAAGAAACTCTCTGGTATATGTTGTTTCCTCATTTACCTGAAAGACTGTTTTCTCCATTCTCTTGTGTATTATCTGTCCAGTATTTTTTAATAACTTTCTTTGACTACTCTTACTATTTTGACCTGTTGGTGAAGTTTTTTATTGCAGGCATCCGGTCTTTTAAATTATTCTAATATCTTTCATTTAACATTATTTGAAACAAAGACCCTAGGTTGGTCTTTGTAGCATTTCTTTCCGCTAACATAGAGCCGTATTATATTAATTCATGTACTTATGTATAGTGGTTTATGTGGACAGTATCAGGTTTGTTTTTATCGGTCGTTATTCTAAGAGTAAAAATATTTCGTTGGCGTTCTCTTTGTTAAGGTAAATCTTCACAATGACTACACTAATGAATTATGTAAGTTATTTTTTTATTATTACTATCTCATTTTTACTTTAAGCATTAAATGCCTTGTGTATCTGATAGATCCCCAGTCAAATAAGTCAGATACTCGCAATCCGGGATAAGTTCGTCGAAATCTCCAAACAGTCCGATGAAAAGCTCACCGCGATGATAGAAGCCGCAAAAGACTTTCGCAGTGGTATGGAACCACTGAAAAAGGAAGTCGATCAGCTTCAAACCCGAGTTAAAAGTATGCATGTGCATGCACCCTACCTTAATGTTTTTTTTCGCAGATCTTCAGTGCTGCATTGAAGGTTTATCTCATGTGCAAAACTTCTATAAAACCGGACGTGAGGTTGAACAAACTATCATTCAAGGGTAAATGACCGTTTCTTTTTAAGTTTTTGTAAAATTTTAGGCCATCGGCATCCCTCACAAACTATCTGCAAGCAATGGATCGTATTAAGGACTCTCTCGTTTATTTCAATCAGAATAATACCGAACATCTGGAGTATACACGACTCGTAAGCCTATCGTTTGCGGGATTTTGTAAAAAAATATGTAGAGTACTCTTCTATCCAACGGGGTGAAATCATTACACAAGTATTTTGATGACGTACTCAGCCAATCATTCACTCCAATGCCCTCAGATGTGCTTTACAGGCTAGCAGAAAAAGAAGGTAATAGATCTTTGCCTCGACCACACTTAGCAAATAGTACCCATTGCTCAGATCAAGCGCTTTAACGTCCACACTTTCCCCTAATAGATGCGATCTCATTGGATGGCACCAAAGCGGATGAGGCCTCAACCGTCTCCCTCGAGTGTGACTCAATCTCCGAGGAGTGTATTTCCAATCTGCAGGAGATTTCTACATGGCTACGCAAGGCCACTTCACTGGTCACTTCGACTGCAGTGGCATCCACTGAGGCGGAGCGTAAGTCGCATCATCACTTGGCACGAATGTTCCGTGCGGGCGTCGCAGATTCGGCCTCAACGGAAGGCTACCAGTTGCCCCCGTCTTTGACACAGTACTGCGAGTTCAGGAAGGACTTAATGCGCGTCACTCTAGTAAAGTAGGTGTTTGTTAATATTGCTTTGGATGTGTAGTGTAAAAGTGAGGCTTTACTTCTTGAATATTATACTGGTTAGTAGGACATATCTAGCTGCGTATAGTGAGTCCGTTCCAATATATTTTAAATAGAAAAGCAGAGTGATTACTCAAAGTTTATACAGAAAGACTTACTGGGTGGGGGTAATTAGGTGTTTTTTTTCCACCTCACGGGAAATTACCCAATATCTGTAAAACCTGTTAGTCTCTTGGTGTAATTTGTGCTCCAGTGAGTCAGTTAATGATGCATGATTTATTGAAAGCTTTGTGCTTAGTTTCCTCCAACGATCACTTAATTCATGCACGAACAATCCAGCTTTTGGTCTTTTTTGTTTTGCGGATTTGTTTCGGCCTGTCCGATGGCGAGCTGAAGTACTCTTTTATGTCAGACTGCGGTCAGTATAGAATTCAGGTTTCGCAAAAAAACCAACCTGCATTTCAGCAATTATTTACTGTCGAGAGTTTACGTTGGTGTTGCTGTATTGGCTGTATGCTCACTATTCATATTTTCACAATAAGTTATTCAAAAGGCTAAGCTAAAGATAAATCAGGCCATTGTGGTGATGCACTTTCTCAATGCTGAAGTACAGCAGTAATTCAGCCGTAGAGCCAAAGGAACCTATCCCAATTTCTACTACTTGTGTGATGTGTTTGCCTGTGTTGTTTTGCTTGTTTATGCGCAGCTATTGTTGGCTTTTGCTAGCTTGAATTTTCGGCATCATATTGAAGATCAAACCCCATGGACTACTTATTTGTGCTAATAATTAAAAGTATTCCCTTTTTTTATTCGACTGTAGACTGCGTGAATACCAAAAGACCCTGGAGAATAATGCACAAAATCCAGTAAGTTGATAGGAGTATGCGTGTGTGTGCGAGGCATGGAGCTTTATGTAAGGTTCCGTCTTTTTCTCCTCTCAGCGTGGTCGTCCTGGCTCGACAAGCAGCCAGCTTAACATCTCCACGACTGGTAAACGTCGGTAAGACCGCCACTCTTGGCACCAATAAAGCCTACCATTTTCGGCCAATATTTATGATTTTTTGCTGCTGTTATTGTTTAGAGGTCTGAAAGCAGTCGGAATTGTCTGGGATGGTAAGTGCCTTCTCTTAAGTAAATTTCAACTGGGAATTTTTAGTTCAAACTGCTAGTGTGACTCTCGGTTTGATGTGATTTTTAATTATTGTACTATTTCCCCGTTCTCCGATATCTAGGTAGATTCTTCTATTGCTCAGGCATTTAGTGAGATTCAGGGCTACTTTACCTAAACTGTGCCTGCGGTTAAAGGCTGAGCTTTCTTTGATATTTTTAAGTTATTTCCATGCAATGACTGGTTAATAGTTAAACCACCCTTTGGCCACTCTTACGTTAGGAAAATGTAAAAGTTATACTGATTGCTCGTACCCACCTGTCCTGTGGCTGCCCCTGTCTGTTCTGATGGGCATGTGTAGTGTGAGCATGACAGGAGAGTCTGTAATGGAAAAAGTATTGAAAGATCAGATTTTTCAAAATTTTATAACAGAACATTGGCAATGCAAAAAGATGCACTATTCATTCGGGAAGTGCTACGATTTTAAAAAAAATGAGGGGTGATTACCTCATCGCGGAAGAGTTGATATTGCTTTCCTCCACATCTGGTAGCGATCGGTTTGTCATTGAATATTACCGTTTGCAAGGTGAAACTTGCTTTATTCAGCTAAATACTGACCTTTTCGCTTATTTCATTGGATTGTGCACCATCACTCTCTACAGGCCAGTCGAATTAGGTCTTATTGCGAGATAAGGCTAGCAATATAAATGTAATCTAAATAAACCATTTTTGGTACTGTTGGCTTATGGAAATCCCTTTACCAACGGTAGCAATCCGGCTTTCAAAACACACCCACACGCACTCCGAACTTTTGATATCGTCGCAATGGTATTTGAGATGCACGATGGTGTAGTCTGATTAGTAACCGCAACCCGTCATCCTACTTAATCCTCCCTAGTTTTTAATTACGGTTTTAAGCAATTTAAAACCTGTAATGGATTTTACTAATTCCCCTTTACTCAATGGGGCAAATTCGTCATACCAGATCGTAATCACAGCTATTCTTATTGAAATGGAGTCAAATGGTGAGGTTTTTCTACTGAATAAGGGGCATAAATACACACCAAAAGAGTTTAATCACACTGCACCTGCCATGGTCCTGGTAGCACTAGAGGTTAATATGGGTTCTGTACTGTGACGACTCTGTTGAATTCTGAATACGAAAGTCAGAACATGCCGAAAGCCTCAGCTAAATTCTGCACGAAATGCAATTTTAACAGTACTGGATTATGCAAAGATGCGTAGGCTAGCATCGGAAGAGGAGTCGACTTATTAGGCAAGTGGTGCGAAAGCACCATGTTATGATGAGCTGGTCTCGGTAGACTGGTTCAAATGGGTGCTAAAATAGTGAATCTTCTCAGTCATGACGGAAATTCTCTGTCCGGTTGGTTGAATGAAATGATGGGACTATCAGAAATCGTGCTTGATGGCGTGTCAATATCCAATTAAACCAAAACCAGAGCAGCGGAGTAATTAGGAATTGCACTTTTTGCATTATTTTCCTTGTAACTTTTAGCAAATTCTCGACGTGGAGTGGCGAACGACATACGGGATGTAGACGATTTGGACTCAGAGCACTATACGACCAGTCTCAGTGGTTTTTTGATTTTGATTGAGGTATGATTGCTCCCTCTCGTGTCCACCCTTTTCTCTCTTTGAGTTTATGAACTAACGGAAGTGGTGGGAGTAGACCAATGACCGAATTAGAAATTATTTGTAAGCTGACTGAACGCTATTTTTTGGCTCTCTGGTTAATTCTCAGGGTAGTACGAAATAAGCGGAGAAGTTTGAGTCACTTTCGACCGATTCATTGCCGAGTTCCTTCAGTCTTCCCGCTTATTCGTTTTACGCGACCTAATATTGTTAGAATAACGGAACTGTTTAAATTAGTAATTTTTTCCTATCATTAATGGGAATTTCCAATCCAAATCGCTTGTGTTTCAAAATGTCTACGCCGGCACCACGATATCTTGCCATTGCTGTCTTCCGTCGTGGAACCAACACAGCAGTGTGGCTAGGCCGGGCCATCAATGAAGGGCTGTTGATCTGTGATTCACAATGCGAATCAAACTGTTGGTATTGTAGCATTTATTTGAGATTTGTTACTTACTAATGACTAGGGTTTACTTTTACTGTTATTTCAGCGCGAAAGACTTTTGCTGGATCGTTTGAAACTGGCGGTGAATTCCCATGAGGCGCATTTCGCCTACAGTCTCATCTGCCGTAGCTCATTAGCCGATCTAATGACCGAGGGTGGGGTATGTTTTACACCCTTTTTTTTGCAATTCCTTGACTGTTAAATAAACCATTCAAAAGAAGCATCTCATTAGGTAGTGCTGTGGGATCTCAGTTCCACTCATATTAAGTAACAAGATGTGCTTTCTCCTCAATGATCGTGGTGTTGGCAATGTTGCACAACGCAGTCCTCATCCAACCATTTCCATTACCCCCATTTTCCGTCTTTAGTCACCATGCTATTTAAGAAGTGACTTCATTCAGTTGCGGTTGGTTATTTCCTTCAGTAAGTGCACAAGTCATAGAATTTCCTAACTTGTTAACTTCCCGTAGATTTTTTGCGCACAAGTGATGTTTGTGATCTAAATAATTGTTCTAGCCCGATGAATTTCAAGTGTGAGTTTTCCCTCACTAGTTTTCCTTAGGCTGTAGAGTTGGTATTTTGCACCATTGCTTATTTTGGGCACGTCTTCACCGTCCACGGCACAATTTTTCTTTAGAAGCATTTTGCTCATTTTTCTAGAACCAGCCTTCCAAACAGACCTTTTTGAACTTCAGTAGTATGTGAACATTATTTACGAATAGGACTAGGGTTATTAAAATCAAAGGTTTACCTTGAAAGAGGATTAGACCATGTGTAGTTGGACCTCATTACGCACAAATGGGTGACCATAACGCCTATCTGGACCCTAGAACAGGCCATATGCCTTGCTTAGTGGTGCTTCAACAAGCTGTCTAATCCTTTTGATGGTTGAAAAGGCCCTCGCGAGAGGCGGGCTTTGAGACACTTCCTTTATTGCTACCTTACATACGATCTATGTGGATTTTATACGTTTAAATTTTATCGAAAGAGCAATCCTTGATTATCAACGCTTTCACCAACCAAATGCTTCATTGTATTGAGTCGACCGTGTTGCCTAGACTCCACTTCGAAACTGAAACTCATAATTTAAGGCGCATCATAGTAATAACCATGAAATGAGTTTTTTAATATTTCTAGCAAATCGGTCACTTTGTGACCACTGAACCCATAAAACTGGTCAGACTTACGATGGGCGTTCAAGTCAAAACGGCAATTACTCGGGCGTGCTCAGAAAAGGGACACTACTGCGGCGGTACCACCCGAGGTAGTAAGTAGCGTCTGTGTTCACACGCAGTGGACCAGTCTAGCCATTGTCAATAAGTATGGAAAGCAACGGCATCAGAGTGTGGATGGGATGATCGAATTTCTCGCAAAAGAAACTGTGAAGCTCGAATCCCCAAATACGTGTATCTACAAAAGAATTCATGTGCATTACCGTGATGGGATGCTTAGCCAAGGTAACCCGTTTGAAAGGCGTATACATTTTTGAGGACATCCGTACGTCTGTCATTGATGATCCTGATGATGGTGGTTCCCATCACGCAACAGTCGTTCCCGTGAACATCCATTGCGGCGCCTACAGGGCCTTATCCCAGATAATCGGTAATCCAATCCTAGCCTGTAATGAAATTACTCAACAAATGAGTGTTTCAGTGATGTTGATGGAAGTGATCCTCCGCATGAATATGTGGTTTCGAAAAGTCCCTGTTTGAGTTGAACATCCTCTATACTTAGATTGGGAGATGGAGTCACATTGATTTATGATATGGTCAGCAAAAGAATTATCGTGGAGCCTTACTTTTTACTAAACTTTTTTACATTTATAGTCCTACGTGCGTCTTATGAGTAGAGTGATAGGACGCGGCGAGTTTTACATGCTTGTCTCGCTTCTGACGATCATGCGTCGTTTCATCGACCTCTCGCCCTCCTTCGTGGAGACCTTCAAGGTGACATTTCTATCTTTATTAATCACTGTCCTAATATCTTGCCTTTTATCACTTTCATTGCCTTCAGATCGTCAGCACTTTGTCTCAGCCGATGACTGATCTTGTGAACCGCTTTCGGGCACAGATAAAAGTCACTTTAGACGCCTTTTTGCAGCAGCTTCAGCCTGGAACTGGATCTTCACAGGTCCCTCCTGATGCCACTGTCCATGAGCTGACCTCCAACGTGAGTTGTTTGAAGGCAATTAAAAAGGAGTTTATGCTCCTATTTCATTTCCTTCTTCTTTCTTAAAGGTACTGCTGTTCTTGGAGAAGTTGGTCGACTACGAAATCATGGTTGGAACGGCGCTGACGTGGGAAGAGGCAAGAATCACACCGGAGACGACTTTTCCCTACCTCGTTACGGTCAATTCGAAGCCTAAAATGTCTCGATCCGCGTTTGGACAGTATATCTGTAAATCAAATTGAAGTCCGTACTTTTTATTTGTTCATCAAATACAAAGCACTAA